AGCAGAAGAGGCAGCAGACACTCAGGGCGCCTCTGCCTGTGCCGCAGAAGCGTCAGCAGCAGCAGCAGCAGCAGCAGCAGAGGACGTGGTCCACTGGTCACGAGGCCCTGCCTAGGCACTTGCCGGGCTGTGTTGTGCGTTCCTTACCGCAGCAGCAGCAGCAGCAGCTGCTGCTGCTGCTGCATCCCCGACGACTGCGGCGGCCGCCGCAGCTGCAGCAGCAGCAGCAGCAGCAGCAGCAGCAGCAGCAGGGCTCCCCGGACAGGGAGAAGCAGCAGGCAGGCTCTCGAGCCTCTGCCGATCTTCAGAACTGCGGATACACTCCAACATCTTGTTGTAAAACTCGTGCTGCAGCTGATGGTCAAAACGCGAAGGAGTTAAAGGCCTGCTGACGCAGCAGCCGTCGCTGCTGGGGCAGCTGGGCGTGGGCGAGAACGTGTGCCCGATGCCGCAGTCCGCGATGATGGGGCCCAGCTCCTGCTGCTGCTGCTGCTGCTGCTGCTGCTGCTGGGAGGATTGCTGCTGCGGCGGTTGCTGCTGCGGTGGCTGCTGCTGCGGGCGCGGGGCCGGCGCGGCCGCCGAACGCGGGTGCGCGTTCTGATGCCGGGACCCCGCGCGCGGCCTGTGCGTCATTTGCTGCTGCTGCTGCTGCTGCTGCCGCTGCTGCCAGTGGGGCTGCCGCTGCTGCTGCCGCTGCTGCTGCCGCTGCTGCCGCTGCTGCTGCAGGTACTGCCGCTGCTTCTGCTCCCACATCTCCTCCCGGTAAGACAGCCGCGCCAACTCATTAATGGAGTCCCTCGCAATCTCCCAAGAAGCTGTGCCCGGCTGCGGCCACTGCCGCTGCTGCTGCTGCTGCTGCTGCGGCTCCTGCGACTCTCCCTGCTGCTCTTCCAGCTGCTGCCGCTGCTGGTGCTGCCGCTGCTGCTCGTCGAGCTGCTGCCGAAACAGCTGCTGCCACACGGACGGCTGCTGCTCAGCTGGCTCTTCCTGGTCTTCCGCGTCGTCCGCCTGCAGCTGGCGCTGCTGCTGCTGCTGCTGCTGCAGCAGCTGCTGCTGCTGCTCCCACCTCTCTGTTGGGGAAGGAAGATTCTCCAAAGGCCTCCGCCACACTCTCTGCAGCTCCCTTAAAGTGGCGTCGCGCTCCTCTTGGCGCCTTCTTTCCTCTTCATCCTGCTGCTGCTGCTGCAGCTGCTGCTGCTGCTGCAGGGTGGTGTGCTGCTGCTGCTGCAGCATGGTCTGCTGCTGAGGGGGCAGGAGCTGCTGCTGCTGCGTCCCCTGCTGCTGAACATGCAGCAGCTGCGTGTGCTGCGTCTGCCAGTTCGAGTGCTGCAGCCAGGCATGATGGCCGTGCTGCAGCTGCTGCTGCCACACCTGCTGCTGTTGCTGCATCAGCAGGATCTGCTGCGCGTGCAGCACCTCCTGCTGCTGCCGGAGCAATGCATGGTGCTCGCTTTCTTGCCGCTGCTGCTGCTGCTGCTGCAGCTGCCAGTCAACCTGCTGCTCAAATTGGTGGCCTTGCAGCTCTGCTGCTTCTAGAAATGAAGGCTGCGTCTGGGGGAGGCCTGTAGCAGCAAAGACAGCAGCAGCAGTAGCAGCAGCAGCAAACACCTTAGCAGTGACCAGACATAAAAGAGCAACCACAAGCTATGTGAGCAGCAGCATCAGCTTCTGCTGCAGTGATTGCTGCTGCTGCTGCTAGTGCTGCTGCTGCTGCTTGTGCTGCCTGCGTGAGTGCTTCTGTCGCTGCTGCCCTCGCTGCATCTCTCGTCGCTACAGCTACGTTTGACGGCCCCCCTGGAGCGTTCGCTGCTGCTGCTGCTGCTGCTGCTGCCGCTGCTGCTGCTGCTGCTGACTCACCGTTGGCCGCGGTTTGCTGCACCGTGACAGACAGCGTCTGCACTGTGTGCGGGTGAAAGACAGGCAGCCCCGGGGGCAGCAGCCCGGGGCCCCTGTGGCTGTGGCTGTTGGGGTTGGGTCTCATTTTGGGGTGTACGTACACCCGGTTGCTGCGTGTGGGGTGCAGCAGCGCGTCAGCAACGGCGCTGCAGCGCAGCAACACGCCTCACAACGCTCCGGGCGGACTAGCAGCAGCAGCCGCAGCAGCAGCAGCCGAAAAAACAACAGCTGCAGCAGCTGCGGCAACAGCAGCAGCAGCAACGGCAGCAGCAGCAGCAGTGCCGTACCTGAGGGCAGTGGTCGCTTGCTACTGGTCGACAAGGCGGTCAAGCTGGTGGTGACAAGAAGGGTCGGTATTCTACAGATTGAATTTGAAATAAAATTGAATTAAAATAAATTAAAATAATAAAACAAATAGAAGAAACAAAAGACAAACAGCAAAGGCTGGTCTATTTCAGCCCGCCGGCGGCGGGTGACCTCCCTCGCCGCCGTGGCAGTTAACAGTTTAGGTGAGTGGCTGAGTCCGCTGCGGCGGTTTAGGGCTTCTTTTTGTTCTCTTTTGTTTCTATTTGTCGTTTGTATTATAAATTAATCAATTCAAAGTGAAAAAGCCTTTTAAATGATCCCTTATGGTCAATTTCAATTGAAGAACACCACCCGCGCCGCGCCCGCAGGGTCACTTGCTGCTTCTGCTGCTGCTGCTTTCCCTCAGTCCTTCTCCTTTATCCCTTAATTCTGAGCTACTTTTGAAGCTTTTATAAATATTTAAACATATATATTATTATATTTATCTTTGCGGCGAAAGGTGCCTCCAAAGTTGGCCTGCCGCGCCTTCGGTGACCACTGGTCAGCACCACAAAGGGCCCCAGGGGCCCCACAGGGGCACATCCTGTGAAGTTCTGGGGGCCCCTGGGGCCCCCTAAGGCCCGCAGTGGACTGAGTGAGTCAATTACTAAGTAGAGAATTCTGGGGTGAGCAGCAGCAGCTGCTGCGTAGGGGCTTCCAGGTGCATGCCTGCTGCAGCAGCAGAAGCAGCAGCTGCTGCTGCTTCACGGTGGCGTGGCCTTATAAGCCAAAGAGGAGGGCCGGGGCCCCACCCGCAGTCAGGGCTGCAAAGGTACCAAAAGGCAACAGAGGCCTCCGAGGGACTCCTAGGGTTTAGGGTTTAGGGTTTAGGGTTTGGCCCCAACACTGCTGATCAACAAGCAAGGGCATAATAGTCCTGGCCCCCGAGGGGCCCCAGGGGCCCCCAGATGCTGCAGCCGAATCAGTCTTGCCTGCGCACTCTGCAGGGTCTTGTACTCTAGCTAGCCAGCTAGCTAGCTAGCCAGCTAGCTAGCTAGCCAGCTACCTTCCCAGCTAGCTAGCTATTTAGCTAGCTAGCTAGCTGGCTAGGTTAGTTAGAAATTTAGTTAACCGGCTAGCACGCTATCGGCGCGGCTAACTGGCTAGTGAGCTAGCTAGCTAGCTAGCCGTTTAGCTAGCTAGCCAGCTAGCTAGCTAGCTAGCTAGC